CCATACGCCTACCGCCTAGAGCTGCCTGCGTCTATGAAGATTCACCCTGTCTTCCACGTGAGCCTGTTAAGACCTGCCGCTTCCAACCCCCTACCTGGACAACGCCATGATCCCCCTCCGCCTATCGAGGTCGAGGGGATAGAGGAATGGGAGGTGGAGGATATTCTGGATTCCCGATTCGACCGCCGCGGACGAGGAGGTCGCCCCCGCCTGAAGTACTTAGTGAAGTGGGCTGGCTACGACGAGCCAACTGAGGTCCCCGCCAGCCACCTAGAAAATGCCCAAGAGATCGTCAACAACTTCCACCGCCGTTACCCTGCCAAGCCAAGGTAATCGCGTCGACAGAGCTCCGCCTAGAGAGGGGAGTACTGTCACGGCGCTGGCTGAGTGGCCGGCGCGCGATCGTCTGATTGGCTGCCGACAGAATCCGGGTGAGGGTCCGAGCACCCGGATTCTGCAAAACCGCCGCAACTTCACTAGTGTAGCTCTTCGAGCTACGTCCTGTCTTCTACTCTATACTACCTGTAGTGAGAGCCTGTTGATTAGCTGTAGCAATAGAACCTGTACACGCGCCTGTCCTCTCTGCCCGTGAGCCCGTACCGTGACAAGCAACCTAACTATAACCTAACCCGACTCTTAGCATTATAATCGGGTATTAGTAGGGTCGGGTTAGATTAGTAATAGGTATAGGTTAGGTCGGGTTGCTAAGAGTTTAGGTAGGGTCAGGTTAGATCTTTATTCCTAACCTTAGTCTAAAGCTCTAAATTATCTATAGCGGTTTATCTTTATCACGAATATTTATCACATAGATAGGTAAGAGTATAATCAGAAGAACTATATATCTTACTAGACATTCTCTAGCTAAATAACTAGTAGAATTTAGTCCTATTACTACGATACTTATTTAAATAGTGTTTTACGAGATTAGAATCTTTCTTCTAAATAGTAACTCTCTTAGCGTGAATAGCGTTAAGGTTGCAATCTATTAAGGTTAGCTACTAATATTAGTTATGTTATTAATATCTGTAATAAATACCTTTAAGATAATTAATAAGAAACGCCTCACATACTTCTTATAGAGTGTTACGATCAGCCTTAGAATGTGGAGGACATTTCGCTGTTACATTTATTTAACGAGTAATCTATAAGACGGCGAATCCGCAGCAAGAAATAGAGACACTCATTTGAGACTAGCGCATCACGTAATCTGCAAGATGCTCAGTGATTAGTATATCTTAGCACTACTAAGCAACTAAGCATATTGCATAAAGCTCTAGTATATAGTATTAGGCATTAAGCCCTTATAGCTCAATGTATTTAACTTAAGTTATAAGTACAAGTATAATATAAACATTATACTTACCTAAGTTACTATCCAGCGCACACTATCTCTCTATCTGCGAAAACCAACCAATAAGAAGCTTAACACTAGAAGTCTAATATTACTTCCACTTAAGCTATACTTTTAACACTTTAAACACCCTTACGATAAGCAGCACTGCAATAGACACTCTAACCGCTTCCCAGACCAGAGGAACTATAATCAACGCCTATAAACCTAACCTTTACTATAGCGATTATAATAAGCTTAAAGCTTAGCTCCTCTAGGTCGACCGTTACTTCTACTTAGCCGGAGACAAGATTGAATACAACGATAAGGTTGTCTTAGCTACCAGTTACTACTAAGGAGACGCAGAAAAATAGTCTAATCCTATCATCAAACGTTACATGGATAAATCTATCGTTAATGCTAACAACACCGCCCTAGTCGAAGACTAGGAGGCTTTTAAGGCTAAGATACGACAAAACTTCTCACCTTTTAAGGAATCCCTAATCGCGGAACAGAAAATCCAGACTCTACGCTAAACTAGGTCTGCCGCTAATTACACCACTTAATTTCAGTAGTATACTACGCATATTAAATGGGATAACAACGCTCTTATACGCATATATCGCTAGGGCTTAAAACCCACGGTACGCAGAGAACTTATAAGAAGTAGAGCTAACATCACTAACCTTAATAAACTTATAGAAGAAGCTATTAGGCTTAACAATAAACTCTATAAGCTCACATTAGAAGAACGACTATTTAATCAGGGAACGCGAAACTACAATAATAAGAACGACTAGCTATAACAACAGTACCACCAGCGTTTACAGCCCAACCAGGGGCGACAGAGAAGCTATCAGCCAAGGATACCCGGCGCATATGCAACCAATAGGTACAAACCTATACACCTTAATAATCTTAATAAGAGAAAAGGACCTAGCAAGCCCTATTATAAGAAAGATAAGGATAATAAGAAAAAGACTAATTGCTACGCATGTTGTAAAGAAGGCCATATAGTACGTAACTATCAGAGCAAGAACAAAGTTAAACAACAGCTTAACGTCCTACACCAGAAATCGAAATTAGATGACAACAAGTTATAGAATGTTATCACCCGGCTAGATATCATATACCACCCAGACGATACAGAAGTTATTAGTAGATTAGACGAACTAACCCTAACCACGTCCGAAGATATATCTAAAGCTGAACTAGTTAGCGAGGAGGAATACAAAACGTTAGAGGAAGAATAACCCCTCACGTCTAAATACAAAAAAATAGCACGATTCTAAGAGGAAAATAGACCACCTACGCTCTACGAAAAGAGGCAAGACAGCGTAATACTAGAATCACCTAAGACCTAACGAGATAACCTAGTAGAAGTATAGAAGTAGATCAACGTACTATCTACACTACTTAGCCACTCAAGTAAAACCTACGCCTATAAGGATAATAGTAATAAAGTATTACTAGACATGTACCAACAGCTATAGCACCTACGCTCAGACATTAACTTTTACTAAATTAAGATAACATAACATCTACCTATATACGCATATAGTATAGCAAATATTAAAAGGCTAGAATAGAGACTCACGCCCTAAGAGGTAACACGAGTATAGAAGACGTAAGGACGGAATAACTCCTGCGAACCTATATAGTACTAGTTTAATATAAGAAATAAGCACCACGCGAGCATATTATGGACTACGTGCACGCATAACTACTGCCCCACTTACTACTCAGATAAGAGAGGAGCTAAATAGAGCCTACAGCACGCTAAGAGTATGCCTAAGTGCAAATAGCTATAGTACGAATATAAGAATAACAGCTACCTAGCATATTTATAGGATAAGCGTAAGAAAATGCACTTTCCTAGTAGAATAGACTCTTAAAGCATTATTCAGATACAGACCACGTATAAAGTATAGTACCTAGATAGCCTCTTATTAGAATATAGAGAAGACTAATAGTATATATACCTTAGCTATAAATGCGAAAAGCATACAGTGGTAAAAGACTACTACAGATACTAATAAGAAGAGTCTTTTTTAGGCCAACGATAGGGCAATAAGGCCCTGCTAGGGAAATTAACGTACTAGAACCTCTAGAATTAATAAGGCTTACAATAGAGCTTAATAGAAAACAGATATAGGCACTAGTAGACTTAAGATCATAGGTAAACTATATTTCAGCGCACGTAGTAGACTGAGCCGGACTTAAGAAATAATAGAAACAACAGCCATACCTACTACACGTAGCCAACGGCGAACTAATACTAAAAGAAAGTAATATTACACACGAGGTTAGATAAGTAACACTTAGCATCTAGAAGTATATAGAGAAGATTAACCTAGACGTTATTAGACTAGCTACCTACAACATTATTTTAGAACTCTTATAGCTTAGGAAATATAACCTACGGATTAACTAGAAGTTAAAAGTATTTTAATTTAAATGCTGTAGAAAGAACGCAACCGTAAGCCAACCTACGCATTAGCAGAGTTTAATAGTAGATAAGAGTGATATTACTAAATAATATAATAATACTAAAAAGAAGGTATACTTAAATAGTAGTTCTCTTAATAGGAAGCCACACTCCGTAGATACTAAAATTAGCCTAATAGATTAAAAGGCGAGAGGAAGAGAGAATAGCGCAACTCTAGAATTCCCTAAAGAATATAAAGAATACGAGTATCTATTTTAGAAAGTAGTAGACGAAATAGTGTTACTAAAGTATAAACCCTAGGACTATAAGATAGTCCTATAGGAAGAAAAGACACTAACTTTCAGGCTAATATATTAACTATTAGAAAGAGAACTTAAGGTACTAAGAGAGTATATAGATAAGAGTCTAGCTAAAGGATATAAACGACTATTAAAGTCACCCGTAGATTACCCAATTATATTTATACTAAAGAAGGACGGAATAGATTAACTATATATTAGTTACTAGCGACTTAATAATATTATAGTAAAAAATCGATACCTACTACCTATTATTACGGAGCTTAGAGATTGATTATCCCGTGCGAAGATCTTTACAACACTAGACCTCTAAGACGGATACTATCTTATTAGAATGAAGTAGAGCGAAGAATAAAAAATAGTCTTTAGAACTTAATACGGACACTATAAGTATAAGGTTATGCCATTCAGACTTATAAACGCCCTAGTAATATTCTAGGAACTTATTAACAACGTACTTAGGCCATACCTAGATATATTTGTTATCGCCTACCTAGATAATATCCTTATCTACTTAGAAAATAAGAAAGACCACATTCTATATATAAAAACAGTACTTAAGAAACTAGATAAACATAGCCTTAGACTTAAGCTAAAGAAGTGTAAATTCTATAAAAATAAGGTCGACTTCTTAAGCTACACGATAGAAGCTAATAGAGTATAAATAAGTGAAGAAAAAATCTAAGTTATTAAGAATTAGCTAACACCAACTATAGCTACGGAAATCTAGTTATTTCTAGGATTTATAAACTTTAATCGCTAATTTATTAAAGACTTCTTAAAAATTGTAATACTAATAATATAACTCACACAGAAAGATACGCTATTCGTATAAAGTAAGAAAGCAGAAGAAGCCTTTAATAAGCTTAAGACTACGTACATTACACCACTATATTTTAAGATATTTACCTTAGGTATACCTATAAAAATCGAAACAGACGCATCTAACCTCGTATTAGAAGGCTGCGCTAGTATACTCATTAACGAAAAATAGCACCTAGTAGTATACTACTTAAGAAAGTTCTTAGGAGCAGAAGAAAGATATAACGTATACGATAAAGAACTCCTAGCTATTATAGAATGCTTACGCCACTAGAGAGTATATGTAACGGCGCAGGCAAGACTACTCGGATCAGTATCGGCAGTAGCGTCACTCAGAGGCATATGGGAGTGCGTGGGACATCAAACGAGCCTTGATTCGAATAGACACCTATAGGCCTTGTACGAAAGGATATCAAAAATCTATCGAGCTACGGTATGGAGAAGGTGGGGTTTTATATCAGCAGATCTGCCCTCGGCTAGTGCGTGCCCATGTTCGGATCCCTTTCGGATGTTAGTTCAGTGTGTACTCGAACCGTTACATTGCTATTCTATTTTACTAAAGTTACGTAGAATAAGTTATCTACGCCTGCGCTACCCCTACTATGAAAAAATTTATTTTAGTTTAGCTCTCTTACTTCCTACCTTATACCCCTCTACTCTACTAATTTAGTTCTACTATACGCCCCCCTTATCTATCCCTTTGTTAAGAGTATAGCTCGAGTGGAAGTAATATTAGACTTCTGGTGTCAAGCTTCTTGTTGGTTGGTTTTCGCAGATAGAGAGACAGTGTGCGCTGGACAGTAACTTAGGCAAGTATAATGTTGTATTGTACTTGTACTCGTAACTTAAGTTGAACACATCGAGCTATAAGGGCTCAATGCCTAATGCTATATACTAGAGCTTCATGCAATATGCTTAGTTGCTCAGTAGTGCCAAGACATACTGATCACTGAGCATCTTGCAGATCACGTGATGCGCTAGTCTTAAATGAGTGTCTCTGTTTCTTGCTGCGGATCCGCCGTCTTATAAATTACTCGTTAAATAAATGTAACAGCGAAATGTCCTCCACATTCTAAGGCTGATCGCAACACCCTTATCTACTCTTACTCTATTTTAGTTTTAGTCTAAATCTTCTTATTATAAGTAACGTATCTGTATAGCGAGTGGCTCAGTATAGCGAGTGGCTCACGGTGCCAAGATCACACCAAAATCACGACTATTACATAACTATTACAATATAATAATAATAGTAAAGAGAAATCGTAATAAGCTATTCTACTTAAAATCATCTTCTATATCTTGCTTACATATACGTGAGTTATGTCCTATCTTACTATAGCGTTTATAGTGCCTTTGCGACCGCTTACCTGCCTTAACGCGCACTCTCTTCTTTATCTTCTTCTTATCACTACGCGCCCTAAACTCTCTTAGAGTTGCTAATCGCTCTCTCTCTTCTATAGTTAGGGTCTCTCCCTTCTATACTTACTTTCTTTTATGTAATCTTTGTTGTGTGGCGGCTTAATTAGCTGCTTTAAGCTTAGAGACGTGTTTTTACGCTAACACTAGCTTCTGCGTAATAATTGCAGCGTCTTTAGCTAGCTTTTTAAAAGCAACTACTATACTTAATAGTGAGCTGTCTATATACCTCTAAATTCTCTGCTTTACTAGCGTTGATTACGACTCTAATTCTAGGGTATTACTTAGGGTTTACGATAGCTAGGGTAGATCTTCTATAGTAGGTAGTGAGGGCGTGCCTAGCTTAATATTAAGCTTTAATATTACCACCTCTAGGTTATATACAACTAAGCCAGCGCCTTAAACGCCTTCTATAATATTATCCTTTATAATAGTCTTATAATAGGCTAGCTAGAAAGCTAGTAGAAACTCTATCTTAGTAATATAGTTAATTCTATTACGTATTATATCCTTAGCTTAGCGCCTATACGCCCTCTTTAAAGGCGAAAAGCAGCCTATATTAAGTGGCTATAGTAGGTGGGATAAGTGTGGGGGCATATAGAGAGTAATAATCTTTACCTCTATATAGTATTACTAGAACTTAATAGAGTTATAGCTCTTATAATCATTAAGAATAAGTAGACGATAGACTCTAATAGTGCGCTCTTTTATATACTTATTAAAGTGCTCTAGCTACTTTATACTAAGCTTATTTATTATCTAGCTATTCTTAGAGACTCTAATAACTTAATTCTTAGGTAGGCTTTCTTTCTTATACTAGACAGAGAGGTGGTACTTACCTTAAAAGATAATAAAGGGTAGGATCGTCTAGCTAGCTGCGCTAACATAAACTACGCTAGTAACCTACTCTTTATTACCCTACTATAAAGATTTTAGCTTTAATCGACGCTTAGAGGCTATAACTACTACTAACGCGTTATATATACCTATTATAAAGCCCGTCTTATTAAAATTATATATATTATTATTCTAGATACTATACTTAGCTTTAGTATTCTATACTAGGCGGAACTAGCCTTATATAAGCTTTGGATCTTTATAGAGGGCTCTCCTATAATTATACTTTTAATTAAACTTTATTTTAAGCTCTAGCCGACGCTTTATAAATGCTCTAGGCTAGTTTAGGCTAATAGGGTCGCGGTGGCGGGTAGCTAGCAAAGAATTAGCTAGATCTTTAATAGTAGGAAGGTGCAGTAGATATCCTCGCGCGTTAAGGTCTAGTATATAGTTAATAATCCTCTCCTCTTCTATTATAAGTAGCTTTATTAAGTTAAGCGAGTAATCTTGTCAAGAGAGCTTCCCTGCGCGTTAATTACTAATTAATCTTTAAGGTACGTTGTAGAGAGCTGTAGTACGCCGTTAAGTTAATATTGCGTCTTTTTTAATTGCTTTAAGTGCAAGTTATAATCGGGCTTCTTTAACAGCTAGAGTATTACTTAGTTATTAAGACATCGCGAGCAATAGTTATGTAATGGGGGAAGTTGATGGGGTCTTGGCACCGTAAGCCACTCGCTATACTGAGCCACTCGCTATACAGATAAGTTACAGTAATTAACTATACTCCTGGTAGTACCGCCGTAGGCACTAGTAGTAATCCGCCTTATCATCTCTCTCGTCTAACTAGTAGTAGCTATAATAAGGCCCTAGTGCGTATTATGTCTACCTTACTTTCTATTCTTTATACTAACTAATTTCTTAGTCCGCTCTTACTAGGCCTAGGAAGCGCCGCGTTATTGCTAGTTAGAAGCTTCAAGGTAACTTCTCTAACTCTAATATACTCTCTAAGGCGTTTAAGCCTCTATATATCTCTTATATCTATAAGATAAAGATTTATAATCGTATTAACTATAAGCTAGACTGTAGCAACGTCTACTAGGCTTATTATAGCACTAAGAGTACTTATTAGTATAATATACGCCTCTTTATTATATATACTACTCTCTACTATACCTTATATATCTTTATAGAGTACGTCTAACGTAAAGCACTACTAAGCCGGACACACCACCGAGCCAGACACTTTTTCTTGGCATTGCGAACTTCATGTATGAAAACTAAGATTACTCTACGTTAGCTATAGAAGCCTTGTACGACTCACTCGTATTAGATTTAGAATCTTCTTCTATATCTTTTTAGCACGTACGAGAGTTATAGCCTATCCTCCTATAGGTTCTATAGCGCCGTTAACCTAGTAGGGCCCTTTCTTAACTACCCTTACTATATACCTTCTTTGCTACTATATAACTAGTAGAAGTACTTTTAGCTACCTGCGATGCTCCTGCACTAAAGTCTAGTGTCCTACCTATCTAAATCTGCTTTCTTTTGCGCCCTTAGCGCTTTATTATCTCTACTTATTACTCTTTAAGCTCTTATATATAGGTCTCTATTATTATATTCTTATATAATATCTTCTTAACTTCGTTAATAAGCTTTAAGAAGCTTTCTTATATAGTAGTTAATAATTATATAAAGAAGTATTTTATAAACTTTAACTATAAACTAAATTTATATAGATTAGTTAGTATTTTAGACTACTAGAGTATTTCTAGTAGAGCTTCTTATAGTAGGGTATAAAGGCGTATATTAAGATAATTAATAACTCTCTACGCGTTGATAGGAACTAGCTCTACTATCTTAAAGGCCTTCTTATAGTTATTAGACGTAAATATGTTATAAAACGTATCTTAAAAGACTAGAAGAAATTGTTTCTTATTAATATACTAGACGTAGTAGCGTGCTAAGTTATTTACGCGTTAGAAGTACTTCTAATTGTAAGGGGCTGCGCTCTGGGGAGCAATCGCGAGGTATACAAGAGGTTGTATTCGATGAGGAGCTAAGCTCCTAAGCTACGTAGCTGTCTATATACAAGCTGGTTACCCGAGTAACAATCGGACCGGTGAAGTCTAGGTGCACGAGGCAGCTTCTGGGTCCTGCGGCTGTCGTCTGAACGTCGTTCGGGCGGTGCGCAGAGAATCCGGGTGCTCGAGACAGCACCCGGGTTCTGCGAGTAGGCCGAGATTCCATCGAGGAGCTATCCAAAGGGCGTTCAGCCCGTTACAATACCCCCCTCCTTAGGGTGATACCGCATCGCCTCTCCGAAACCCTTCCGGGAGGCGGCCCTCGCTGTCTCGTTTGGTCTCTGTGAACGCTTCCCAACGATCTACTGCCTCAGCGTCCTCTAGTAGCTCCGCTGGTTCGAGCGTCGTTCGGTGGAACCCTTTCCACTTCACCTCGTAGTATAGCTTACGCCCTCTCCCACGGCGGCGTACCTCTTCTGCTATAATGTCCTCTACCTCCCATTCGTCTTCTCCGTCTACCTGCAGCGGCTGTGGCTGATAGTCATCCTGAACCTGGTTCGGGAGAGGATCGTTGCTAGCGAGCTTTAATCGGTCGACATGAAAAACAGGGTGCGGTCCTGGCGGCGTGTCTAGTTGAACTGAGTGGCTATCGATTACCTTAACCACTGTGTACTTAGCGTTCTTCCAGTCGAGCTTCTTAGAGCTTCGCCCTGTGCTATACTGCTGATCGAGCTTCAACCATACCTTATCGCCTACTCGGTAGCTCTGTGCCTCTCTCTAAGTCTTATTCGCCTGTCTCTCCTGTTCTTGTTGAGCGACTGCTATTCCTGCTTGGGCTAGTTCTACAGCTTACTGTAGTTTGACTGCGATCTCTGCCGCTTTCTACTCGTCCGAAAGCTGTTCGGCTGGTTTCCGCTGTTGTCTTTTATTTCCTAGCTCTAGCTGCAGCGGCTCCACTTCGTGCCCGTGCTGAAGGAAGAATGGTGACATGCCTGTTAACGTTGCGTTTCTGCCATTGATGGCGATCTGGGCTATTGGGCAGAGTCGTGCCCAGTCGTCCTGAGCCTAGTTCGTGAAAGATCGGATATAGGTCTCCTAGACGCTGTTTATTCTTTCCGTGGCGCCATCGGTTTGTGGGTGGTAGGTAGTTGACAGTCTTCGTTTAATCTTTAGAAGCTTATATAGTCTCGCCCACAGGGCGCTCACGAATTGGCTGCCTCTATTGGAGGTTATGGCATCTAGTATCTAGTGGTACGCAACTACTCGCTCGATAAACTTCTGGGCTACTGTCTTAGTCTTTGTGTTCGGAAGAGGTACGAAGATCGCGCCCTTGCTAAGCCGATTGGTAATCACTATCAGGCTAGTCATGCTCTTGCTCTCTAGTAACCCTTCAACGAAATCTATAGAGATCTCCTTCTAGATCCGAGTAGGTATCGGTAGTGGCTTCAGAAGGCCTTGCGTGCCCTCTCTCTAGGACTTACTCCGTCTGCAGGTGTCGCAGTTTCTAACGTATCTTCGGATCGAATTAGTTATGCCTGGCCAGAAGTAGTCCCTTGCGAGTATCTTGTAAGTTAGCTCGCGCTCTGGGTGACTGGTGACTAGTGAGTCGTGGGCGCTGCTAATGATTGCCGTTCGCAACTCGTCGTTGTCTGGCACCTACTTGCGCCCTCGGTAAAACAGGACTCCACCGTCTGCTGAGCAGTCTTTAATTAAGCACTTTAGGCCTAAGTTCGCGGGGAAACGTCGCTCTTAGTCCTCTACTGCCTTCTTCGCTCCTTGGTAGACTTGATCTTTCGTCGCTGCCTCCTCCCAGAGTTCTTCTAGCTCGTTCCGCTGCGTTCTTTCTCCTTCCTCTGGTTCTTCGGAAGGAGACTGGTCTGAACTGTCTTTAGTTGGCGGAGGAGTGTCTTCTTTTTGCTGGGATTGTGCCTCTAGTACGTCCGACTGGTCTTTAGTCGTGCTAGCTGTCTCTTTTTCTCTTTGTGGTCTCGCGACTATTACTAGGGCTCTGCCGTCCGAGCCCTCCTCGGCTAACTTCTTATAGTAGGAGTTCGTTGGCTTGAATATTTGCACGAAGCGCTTCTGTAGGCGCTCGTCTTCTGCCCCTGTAGGCAGGTCCTATTCTCTTCTTAAGAGCGCGTCAGCTCTTATATTCTGCTTACCCGGCCGATACAGCAGTTCTAGGTTGTACCTGCTAAGTAGGAGCGACTATCTTATCTGACGCTCGTTCAGCATACGGGGTTTTATAAAGTACTCTAGGTTCTTATAATCTGTGATTACCTTAAACTTCTTGACCAAACGTAGTTCGGAGTCCCATTCTTTAAGGTATCGTACTACTGTGAGTAACTCCTTGTTGTGGATCTCGTAGTTGCACTCGTGCGCGTTATTCTTCCGCGAGAAGAATGCGCATGGTTGTAAGACTCTATCGTCGCCGTACTACGATAGCACTCCGCCTACTGCGTAGCCACTCGAATCGCACTTAAGTACTGTCTCCCGATCTGGGTCGAACGCCGCCAGCGTTGGCTCTGTGATAAAGATCTCCTTTAGCTTCTTAAAGGCCAACTGCTCTTCGGCTCCCTATTGGAAAGGGACGTTACCCGTGAGCCTCGTAAGGGGTGCGGCTAGCTGTGCGAAGTTCTTGATAAACCTTCGGTAGAAGTTCGCGAATTCTAGGAACGATCTTACTCCCTTTACTATTCTTGGCGCCTCCCACTCGCGGATTGCGGCTACCTTAGCTGGATCTATGCTTATTCTCTTGCCCGCTTCGATAATAAACCCAAGGTACTTAGTTGTCTTGACTTTAAACTCGCACTTCTTGATATCCACCTATAGCCCTGCGGCTTGAAGCTTACTAAGTACCCTTCGGACATGCTCTCGATGCTGGCGCAGATCGCTGTTAGTATAGATTAGCACGTCGTCTAGATAGGCTGAGCAGAAGTCATCTAGGTGCTCTCTTAAGGTCTAATTGATATATCGTTGGAAGGTGCTTGGGGAGTTCGCTATACTGAACGGAGTAACTAGCCATTCGAATAGTCCGAACCTCGTTCGGAAGGCCGTCTTCTACTTATCGTCTGGTGCGACGCGGATCTTATAGAAGGCCGCGATAACGTCTAACTTTGTAAACTATTTAGCTTTGCTTAAGCTATTAAGCGTCTCTTAGATAAGCGGTAGTGGATATCGGTCTTTCTTAGTAATCGCATTTAGGGCTCGATAGTCGATATATAATTGGAGCTCTTCTTCTGGCTTCTTCGCGAATAGCACTAGCGCAGCGGCTGGTGAGCTACTTACACGGATGAATTCCTTCTCGAGAAGTGACGTAAGTTCTTTTTAGAGAACTAGGAGCTCTCCGCGCGACATGCTGTAGAGGGGTCTCTATAGCAGTTAAGCGTCTTTTAGCTCTAACTTAATCTTGTGGTCCACCTCTGGCTCTCGATGCGGTAGAAGCTTTTCTGCTTGCTTCGGGTTAAAGAGCTTATAGAACTCCTGGTACTGCGTTAGTAGTAGCGCTCGTACGTCCACGGGCTTCTTTGGTTGTAACGCTTTGTTGATATCTGCGATTGACGCGGCGAAGATCTGAACGCTATTTAGAGCGCTCTTGTGTCGGCGAAGTAGCGCTGCGAATGCGGCGGCGTTCACGCGTTGGACTCCTCCTTATAGGGTCCCCTTTGTTGATCGCACTCGAATGCCTTTCAAGTGGATAAAGATGCTCTTCTTCGCGGGGGCTATCGTCACATCGCGGTGATCTATCCACCCCCTTTCTAGGTAGACGTTCTCGCTAGAGGACAAATCCATTACATATGCATAGGCAGACTCTTCGTACCCATACAGCTTAAACGAGAATCGGGCGACCTTATTAATCTCCGACAGCTTATTGTTCACTCCCTTAATTATTTGGGTAGGGATCTGAAAGCGCTCTAGACAGTGGCGGTAAGCGAACTTTCTGTTAATTAGTGCGTAGCAGAGACATCTATAATCGATTAGTGCTGTAGCGTTAACTACGTTATTTATAATCAGATCTATAGTAATTGGCGGGGGACGTATGTGCTTTCGCTGAAATTGACTCTATTCGCTACTTGTCTGCCGATCTATCTTTAGAGGCTCTAAGCCGAGACTCTGGCTTAGAGCTCCTCTTTTCCTGAGTCGCTGTTGGCTAGGTTCTTAGCCTCTTCTGGCTGCTTCCGTTTTTCGCTCTTAGGGAGGGCTCTAGCTCTCTCGACCCGAACGTTGTTCGGACAGTTCCTAGCTAGATGACCTGGCTCTCTATAGCTATAGCAGTCCCGCGGAGGTCGTCTTGGCCTACTCGTCTTCTCTCGTGCTCGATTGACTCTTGAGGGTTCCTAGTCCATCGCTTCTGGGCTATTCTCTCGCCGGGTAGCTTTTGGAGATGCTTGCGCGTGATTATAGGCTACGTTCCGTCGGTTCCTCCTATGCAGTTGGATCCGATACAGGTTGTCGGAAAGCTCGATTGCCTTGTTTATATACTCCTTTAAACTCCCATTCTTAGGGGTATAGAGTATTAGCTTCTGGAGTTCCTCTCTGAGTCCTTTGCTGAACATCTCACGAGCTACTGCTGGACTGAACGTCTGTCGGGACTCTACGCGGAGTTGATTAAACTCTGAGACGTAGTCGCGTATTGGGCGTCGTTCTTGCTTTAGGTGTCGAAGCTTATTTAGAGCTCGCTGCTGCTGGTGGACGTCTTGGAAGTGAGTATCTATATGCTCCTATAGTCTGGCGGTCGTTCGCTCCTTATTCTTAAGCACCCAGAGAAGAAGGACCTGGTTTGCCTTATTCTTCGTTCGGCTAAGCACGTATCGAACCTTCGAGTCCTCTGTTAGGAACATAGCAACGTCGTATTCTAGCTTCTCTTCGCATTCGAACTTCCAGCCTGGGTAGTTCTTACGGGTTCTATTGAAACGTTCTAGGTCTGGGAACTTGTTCTTGCGGGCCGTTGGCTCGGCAGTTGTTATTAGCGGTAGTGGTGGGGTATTGACTCCTAAGGAGGCTTCCGAGCGTTCTTCGGCTTAGTTCCGTTCGAGTGCCTCTAAACGACTAACTATCGGGCCAAGGAGTCGCATTATCTGCTCCATCATCTGAACTGTGGCGCTCTGGTCGCTCTTTGGTGAGCTCTTTTGCCTTAGCGGGCTCCTCTCTCCTACCACTGTTGACCGTTTTACAACTGCTTCAATTGTTGGGCTAATCGCTGCCTCTTTCTACTCGTCCTCTCTTAGCATTTGTGTGATCTCACGCAGGATCTCTTCGTCCGAGACTCCTGCCTGGCTCTTAGCGGTAGCGTACGCCGCTAGCTCTTCTACGTTCAAGTTGGGAACGTTAATCTCTATCGTACTGTTCTTAGGGGGGTTCTAAGGAAACTTTATTGAGTACCCCCTTATCGTCGCGTGTGGCTTCTGATCGTCTCTTGATCTGCTTGCGCAGTCCCGGACTGCGGCCTACTCCTCGTCGGCGAGGACTGGTAAGGCTTACCTTCGGCTGTCCTTATTACCAGCCGGAATCTAAATAGCGCTCTATCGCTGTTGCGTCGCGTCCCTAGGAAGACTCGCGTCTTGCCGTCTCGCTTATGGGATCCCGTCTCCGATTGAGAGTAATTGTACGGCCTGCACCTCGTCTGATAGAGGATTGATAGGACTTTCTCACTATAACGTCCGCTTCTAGCTAACTGTACGCTAGGCCTGAGTGGCCTTTAGGTAGTTTATTACGCGACGTTGCGCCTACGGCTCGGCTTTCTAAGACACGGTAGGGCTTCTGATAGGTTCTGGGCGACTCTTTCGTCTACTGTCTCTCACGGCTAAGCTTCCTGCGAAGCTCTGCTCTAGGTGTACTATCTTGCGACGGTCTACCTACTCGCTGCGCTAAGGCCTTTCGTACCTATTGCAGCACCAACTCCGTGTTACTAGCTTATGCTAATAGCACGTTCTAAAGCTTAGTTAGAAGACAGTCCGCCTAAGGCTTGTGTCTAATTGGGATTGAATACAAAATGTAAGGGGCTGCGCTCTGGGGAGCAATCGCGAGGTATACAAGAGGTTGTATTTAATAAGGAGCTAAGCTCCTAAGCTACGTAGCTGTCTATATATAAGCTGGTTACCTGAGTAACAATCGGACCGGTGAAGTCTAGGTGCACGAGGCAGCTTCTGGGTCCTGCGGCTGTCGTCTGAACGTCGTTCGGGCGGTGCGCAGAGAATCTGGGTGCTCGAGACAGCACCTGGGTTCTGCGAGTAGGCCGAGATTCCATCGAGGAGCTATCCAAAGGGCGTTCAGCCCGTTACACTAATTAAGAAGTAAAAAGTAGATAATATTAAGCGGTTCGAGTATATACGATAAATAAGTAAGTATATAAAGAGTAAGAATTCTATATATAAGATAGTAATTCTTAACTTCTTAGTTTAGATAGCTTTTATAACTGTTAAGAATTAGTAGCTTATATAACTCTACGTAATACGTCTTTATATACTTATTAAAGTACTTTAACTACGCTAAACTTAGTACGTTATTTATCTAGCTATTCTTTAATACTAAGAGCTTCTAATTATATAGTATATCTTCTTTTTATATTATATAGAGATATAGACGCGTCCCTTATAGATAATAAATAGCGGGATAGCGTATCTTATAGTGTAGATACTTCAGATAATAGTAATCTGTTATGGGCGGAGAGGCCTAGCGAACGAGTATGCTTCTACCTATCGTACAGAAGCTAAAAGATAAGAAAAAGAGAAGATAACTAAGTACAGACTTCTCTTATACCTGCTCGCTTCTGATCACGTGTCCGTACAGAAGGTATATCACGTGGTCGAAGATCACGTGATCCTCTTCAGTAGAGATCACGGGCGCAGCCCTTTACATAATCTACTTATAATTACTTAGCTAAGTAAGTATAGATCTTATATAACGCTCTAAGCTTATAACTACCTTTATTAAGCTAATTACGCCTATCTAAAAGCCTATTTTATTAAAGTTATAGATATTATCTAAATAAACTTTATACTTCTTAATAGTCTCTTATATAAGCTTAAACTACGTATTAATTATCTCTAGATTCTCTTACTAAGTTCTCTAATAATCTTTTACTTAATTAAAGGCTATTTAAAGCTTATCTGTACGCGATATAAACCGCTTTAGCTAGTTCTTACCTAAAGGCTAGCTATCTCGTACGCGTAGTAGTTTCTCTACTATATCTACTACTTTATATAAATAGGGGGCAAATCCTTATAAGTCTAGGTTAAGAATATATTATATAATAGTTTACTCTTTAGATTTAGTTAGCTTCTAGTGATTTAGCTACGTTATAGGTTAAAAGGTAATTTCTTAAAGCTGCTAAGAGATCTACTAGTAATAGACATTATAGGCTGCTGCAGCACGTTAAATACTCTTAAACTAACCTATATGATAGGCCTGAATAGCTAGAGTAAGCCTACCTTCTTGCTAAGTTAATATCGCGTTTTGTTGTTAAGGCATTATCTTTCGTACATAAAGTTCGCGATGCCAAGAAAAAGTGGCACACTCGATGGGGTGGCACTCTCGATGGTGGAATTACGTTATTATTTACCTATTTTTGACAACCATCACAATCTAACAATTGTAACGATATTACAACTTCGCCAAGTATCGGACCAATCCCAGAGCTAGATAGGAGGTAGTATTCGCCGCCCTCTTCATCAACCACTCGTTGTGAGGTCGGATCCAATTCGGATCCGACTAAGATTAGTATATAAGGAGACACTCTCTATAGCTAGCTCTGTAGACTTTTGATATCCTTTCGTATAAGGCCTATAGGTGTCTATTCGAATTAAGGCTCGTTTGATGTCCCACGCACTCCCATATGCCTCTGAGTGACACTACTGCCGATACTGATCCGAGTAGTCTTGCCTGCGCCGTTACAACAATACTAGTAGATATATATTAAATATACGATTCTAGTAGTACTCTACTCAATAATACGTGATAATAACGTTTCAATGGTGGCTAAAAGCTTTATTTTTTGTCGGGCACACATTTTAGTGGGGTGTTGCATTAGCTGAACAGTTGCACGCACTAACCACATATAATAAGCTTAAAGCAACAAATAAGGCCGCAATGCGACGGAAATCGCACAAAAGAAAGCGGTTTCAGGCTGAGGGGTCATTGATAGTAGAAGATGGGGCGCGCTTAGCTGTTCTTTATGACTTTGGTGCGCGTGATGGGAAGAAGTCAAAGAAGCAGAAGTGCGCTGAAGTAGGTGAACTATCTCAAAGCTGGTGTGGACGGTGCAATGAGATTGGGCATAATGCACTAACGCGTAAGTAGGTAGTATAAGTAAACTCTAGATAATACCCCGTATTGTATTGCACTATACAGGTCCAAAGTGGGCTGTTTTGGGCCATAACGTGGTAAATTTGGTGGGGTCTTGGCAAAAGTGGGCAACGAAGCCGGGTGGGTAACAAAGCCGTCGGGTACGTTATAAGTTTTCACTATTCTATAATTCCTCCAACGTGTAAAACACTTTCGACTTTATCTTAGTTTCTCTCTAACTACTTCTAGAAGTTATTAGACTCCTTAGAATTTTCCGTAGATGCGCTTCAACTTTCGGAAGCTATTAGACTCTTGAACGATCTTCGGATGCGAATTTAGAACTTTCCGAAAATAGACATGGATTTGCGGAAGCTAAATCAAGACATTCCGAACCTAATTAGGTTTTCAGCTACTGAGGGGAATTTCTGCACGTCCCTTGATACATCAAGCTCTACATACATACTGTCTTTAGTAAATAACCATGATAATCACTTGATAGATAGTACTGGACACGTATCTTCAGTTGCTCATTATCGTACCCGAATTTCTTACGTGTTGCAAAAAAGTACGTTCAAGAGATTAAACACGTGTTACCAATCATAGCATAAGAACACACGTCTAATTTTAAGGTCTACGTATGCAAGAATATAGCCAGTAGCATTTTTGATTCAGCAGGGGGCTATTGCTAAATATGGTACTTATTACATATATATCGAACTTAGTAATAACACTGTCCACATGGATTGCTTTTTGATTCAAAATTAACATGTGCTACAACGGGCGGATAACTAAAAAGGTTAGGAATCTCTCTATATTTGATTGTTTTGACCCTGTTTTCTTTTCAAAACGTTCAAAGACTTCTGACAGTATATATACGTGCATATCGTCTACACAAAGATATATACACGACAACACGTTAATAACTAATATTGACTCCGCTAACGAATCCATCATGATGGGCTCGCAGCGCGCGCCTCGCATCGAGGCTCATTCTACCCGCATTGTGGAAGATCTCGAAATGCTACGTCCATGTGGTAAATATCTACCTGCATACCCTCTATGACATGATTACTAATACTGTGTTAGGAAACCTGGAGAAGCTTTTCACAGCAGAACATAACCTGGATTTTTATAGTGGTGCTGGTGTTACAGCTACTTACATCTGCTCTACTAAGTCACACGCCATTCAATCTCTGGTATTCGCCGCGTTTCGTATTCTCATCCAAAGACATTCAATACTTAGTGCCATCCCACTTGATGAACACAAAAGCGCACCGTATTTTGGAAAACTATCAGAGATTGACTTACGTACTTGTACATCTTTCGTCGAAAGAAAGGAAGCCATCTTCCTAGATGATATGGGCATGGTCGATAGAGAGCTAGATGTACTGCTTGAGTCACAACATAAACTCAATTGGAAAGACGATCAGGGAAAAAAACCATTCTGGCGTGCTATCATCCTCCAGTCTGCAGGATTGAATAATCAAATAACGGTTTCATGGATATTCCATCATGCACTGAGTGATGGAGTCTCAGGATTAGTATTCCATAAACACTTACTTCGAATACTTAATCAGCTTGAGCAGAAAGAACTACTGGAGGACGGACCAATTGTAAAAATACCGAAGGTAGAGCTTGTACCACCACTAGAAGGTCTATATAAACTCCGTCTAGGAGTTTCATTCATCATAGAAAATCTATGGTGTGAGTGGATTTCTAAAAGACATTCGAAGTCGAAGCTTTGGACAGGTGCGAAGTGCACACCCGACCCGAAGTTCAAGACTCTCAAATTTCGCACAATTGTATTATCGAAACTGGACACTGATAGTCTACTGGAGATGAGCAGGAATAACAAGACTACCCTCTCTGGAACATTAGAATGTGTTACGTCGGCTGCCGTTCTGGTGAACCTTGATTCAAAGAAGTTCGATCGGATTACTGTTGCTGGAGCGATCTCTTTTCGACGATTCTTCCGTCTTGAAGGAAAGGATATCGACAATGAGATTGGTGTATATGTCTCGACATACCGGAATGAGCATATTAATCCTATATCTACACACTCCGATTTGATTCAAGAGACGAAGGCATCAGGGCAGAATCATGTCTCTAATATCTTTTCCTGGGACGAAGCCCGAGCTGTTCGGTCCGTGATAAACGAGGAAATTGCCAGAAAGGGAAGAAATAGTATGGCAGGTCTAGCTCATTGGATAGGCAACCCGAATTCGTTCTGGCTTGGCAAACTTGGCAAGTACCGAGAAGAAGCATTCTGTATCACGAATATTGGATCTTGGAAGCCTGAAACTTCTGAGGACGACAAATGGAAGCTAAGTCGAGTGGTATTTAGCCAGTGTTCTTCGATTGTAGGACCTGCCTTCACGCTGAGTATCGCTACAGGAGGGGATGGATGTCTAGTCTTGGGATTTTCGTGGTTAGAAAGTGTTGTTGAGGCATTGCTCATGGAGCGCATCATGGAAAGCATAAAGGAATGTATACAATGTTTGGTATCTGGAAGTATGAAAAATTAATTTTAGCATCAGGGATGCTTGAGTAAGTGTCCGAGTGGTTCTTATTATTCTCATTAACGTTGTTCACAAGTGAGCGGCCCACGCCTTACTAGCGCGTCAACGTCGAGACGTTACCACAGATTTATATCACAGTTAATAAATATCGCAGTACTAATGGGTTGGTCGGTGACCAACCTGACCCGGATCACATGATCCGTCCGATCTTTTGATCCATCTGATCTTATTAGATGGAGGAATGGTGGATCAGATGAAGGCTGAAATAGGTCACCGAATGGAGTTAGACTTAGTTTAATAAGTATATAGTCTGACTGATTCACTGATCTAGGTCGGTAGATTGATCGGTTCATCATTCTCAATATATTCCCATTTGTTAGAAGTTCTCTAGCCTTTAATAATAAACTATTGCGACATACTAAATTGATTATAAGAATCGCCGCTATCACTTACATTATGTATCTTAACTACGCAGGTACGAGCGTTACGTCCAGTCTGTTTACAACGCCCGCACCGCCTCTCTCCTCGCACTTTCTTCGACGCACTCCCACCATCACCACGACTGCTATCAGCCTGTTCAGTTAATACAGTGGGGTGACCAAAAAAAGAACTCCAAAAGGTTGTATTTTTTTAAACAACTATTGCTCAATGGGTATTAGCGCTAAACTAATGATGAATATATCGTTGAATAGAGAATCTATTGGCGTTTATGAAAGTTGTCTTACGCAAGTGCTTGGTTAGTACTAGAAAGGCTAAATATCCTCTTAAACGTAGAGGGAAAAATCTTCTAACTTTATTGCTAAATTTCGCGCTGCAAATTTTGACTTTTCTTCTATCTATTGATATGTATATAGAGATATATTCAACATAGTATTGTAATATATATAGTACTAGAAAGTATGTAAGTAAAATATAGGTAGATATTAGAGGTAATGTACTTATTAGATAAAGAAAGAATAGTATTAGCTATATATTAACTAGTATTTAGTGTAATGGGTGGGCCGTGTGAGAGATATAAGCTAATCAGCTAATCTCTGACATAATCCGGGTGCTCGGCACGATACTCGGATTCTTTAGTTAACTAATCCCTAAATAATTTACCTATCTATTACGTCTATAGCTACGTAATCTACTACTAGATAGATTCTTCTAGAATCTAGTACAACTAATATATATAGTAGTAGAATAGCTAGTAGATAGTGTCAGAATAAGGAGGGTGCTACTTGTTCTATAGCTAGCTCAGAGGTAGAGTCGTCTACTTGTCTAGCGATAGACTCAGAGGTAGCGAATCGATAGGTTCTAGGATGAAAAGAGAGAAATAATGCTAGGGGAGAGAGATAAGAATTGGATTGAACTGATCTAGTAGTCTGATCTGTTCTTGTAATCTGCTCTGCTTTCTATCTAGTATTCCTATCACTAGTATTTATACTAGCTAGTAGCGATAGATTACGTTGTATACACGTAATCTTTATTTATATCTTACGCTACTAATACACTCGTGATACACTAGTAGTATGATGGTATATATCGCTAGGGTATAGCGATCTAGTCGATTGATAGATCGATCTTATCAGAGATTAGCTGAGTAGCTTAGGTCTCTAACACTTAACAAATAGCTACGATATTATGTTGAAGCCGTTACTAGCTAGAACGAGAATTTTAATATAATATAATAGCGTAGGCAAGGCTACTTAGATTAGGATTAGTAGGAGTATTACTTAGAGGCAAATAGGAATGCGTAAAACATTAAATAAGCCTTAATTTAAATAGACACCTATAGGCCTTATACGAAAGGATATCAATAGTCTATAGAGCTAGCTATAGGGAGTGTCTCCTTATATACTTATCTTAGTTAGATCTAGATTAGATCTAACCTCACAACGAGTGGTTGATGAAGAGGGCGGCGAATACTACCTTCGATCTAGCTCTAGGATTAGTCTAATACTTAGCGAAGTTGTAACATCGATACAACAACGTTATTTAATAGTAAGTCTACTATAGTATAGATTACCTAAAGTAACGAAGTTATAGAAAACTAAAACGCTAAAACCCTAGCTAAATTACCCCTCTATATTCTACCTTAATTCGGAAAAGTCAAACCGCAGCACTAGCCGGGACCCCCTGTCGCATCCCCTGCCAAAGCTCTATACCCGAATAGGTATCAAAAACGCAACCGCAAAACGCGCAACCCAACAGGCCCATAGTTGTATGTATTGCCCGAAGTCTTTATTAAGCGCTTCGCTTCGTTATCTCTGCCCTCAACGCACGCGGCTGTCTCAGCATTACCGGCCATTAATCCTTAGCGCAACATGTCAGCGTTCATGCTTTGACTCAAAGAACATCGTCGTTCTCAAGTTGCTGAACTCTGTAGTTTTCCATGGTCTCTAGATCAGCAATCTTAGCTCATGTGCATGTACGCCTATAGCTTGTAAAAAGTCTAGGCGGCACGTTAACGCCTTTCTTTCTACACACCAGCATGATTCCTCAGGCCATCACAAAGGTGTGGAGTATTATCCCGTTGAACACAAAAGCATGCTTCGCTATCTAGAATCGGGAGTCCGGTTAAAACGCCCGGCGTATGTTAATGAATCCGGACATATGAACTCACAGCCGAGTGTTACACGGGGTTAGGCTATACTTCCCTAGTCTCAGTCCGGGTTAGGCCAAGATGGTTACTTGCGATAAGCCGTGCGATTGTCTGGAGATTCGTAGTGGAAAGGAGTTATGGATGTAACCAAAGTAAATGACAATCAATTTTATAACGAATAGAATAACTTATGAGAGTTGACCACAGCGAGTGTAATAATGAAATTCAACTATTCTTATGTCCTCATTGCTTTTGGTCCTGGGATCAGGCCTTCGACTTGCCGTCACTGGCGGTTGTCTCCACCTCTGATGGCACCTGCTTGGCGTGATGGCACATCACGTCACTCCGTTTGCCCCGCGACTATCATTACCTTCTGACGCAGACCTGTGTGGTACAATACTCAATCGTGCTCCTCCCGGCTTTTCTATCTGGCGTCAAGGAGAGAATCCTTCTTATTACCTTGTAACACCTAGTGACGATTGTACAGTCAGACATCCCATCCACAGTGTATGCTCTAGACCTATTGCACGTTAGCGGTCTTTCAACAGCAGGGCTAATTTATTGACCGGTCGATTTCTAACATAAGCTTCATTCTTAACATTTGCTTGTGTGGTCCAATGTGGATCTTTTGGCCCCATGTAATCATGACGATCTTCTGACCGACTGCCTTAATCTGCTGCAATACGCTTATTGAAGTTAGATTGCTCTAGTGAGGTCTTTACAGAGACACATGTGAGAATTAGCAGTAAAGGATAGATATAAAAGGAACCGTCTACTCTCGAAAATCTAGTTGTACTCATCTACAGTTCATCTTCACAATTATCCTTCGATCTACGCACCTGTACTTATCAATCTAGCATCAAAATGCGTTACTCTATCATCCTTGCCCTTGCCACCGCAGCCTCTGCTATCGATATCGAGTGGTTCGGAGAGTCACACTGCAGAAACGGATACGGCCTTCGATGTCAAAACATCAACCCTAATACGTGTTGCTCCGGGCAACGCAGTGGCGGATGGGCTGCGGTTCAGTTTGCCAACATTCCTAACAACTGGGATGTTGTCTCTGATGCGTATGATACTGAAAACTGCCGTACCCTCGTGAACGAATTCAGAAGCAACGGCAATAGTTTTGTGTGTCACGGTGATAACCGGCACTATAAAAGTGCGGGTTATCACTTCTTTAGCAAAAAGAGGAGTACCTATATCGACACTCGCGACGCTTCAAGCAAAGAATGTGTCAAGCCGGATACTTTGTTTTTGGCTGATGGAACTACATACGCTATCTCTGGACTCACAGACGATCAGGTTGCAGAATTGGTATACAACAATCTCATTACCCGACAGAAACAACTTGCTAACTCTTCTGATAGTGAGTGAAATATGCTACTAGCAACCTTTGAGTGGGTTTATATCCTTGATAATAATAGCTAATGATTATATCTAGCATTACACTGGCTGAAAATGCAACTCATACAGATCTCCCTGCGGTCTACCAAGCGCTTAGGGTCGAGTAGCTCTAACTACTATCTACCAGGCTTGTCAACAATCAAGCCAATCCGACACCTCCGGATGAGTGACTAAAGCAAAAGGGTAGGAGTTAAACCTATGTAGGTAACTGCTAGGCTTAAATAGAAAGTCAATCAAATCAAGCTTCCTTTCTTAAGCTCCACTTAATTGATTGTTAAAAACTGTGCTATCTACAATCCCTAACATGACTAAGGTCAGAATCGACCTTAATCCCAGATCTCTTGGCGAGTTTGCGAACCTTGATCCCGCAGGTCTGTATAGGCACCAGGATTAAGGTCGAAATAATATTTAGAATAAATGCAACTTCTATTACTCCGGCCCAACGGCTGCTGTAGCAGAATTTCAATGAAATTGCCCGTGCTCCGCACGGGCCTATCACCTCAACGATAATGATCACCTTAATAATAACACGTAGCTTTTAGTATATACATCTACTATAATAACGTATAATAAAATAAACTTAACTACGCATATCGTTTTTACTATGCCTAAGGTTAATAAGAGAAAGTCTGTATATAAAGAAGAGGTGGTGGTGTTACAAAAGCACGCCGAAGCGTTACGCCTACTCTACTAACCTAATATTAAAAGCTATACAACTACCTATAACTTGCCATATTAGCGCCTACGACGCGCCTATCTTAGACTTCCGAATCGCTGTGATCGCGCTAAGCCACCTGCTTTATACTAGCTTAACGAGTCTTAAGATCTCGCTCTTAAGCGGTATCTTAATGCTATTAATAATATTAGCTTTAGTATTTATCGTAGACTAGTTAAGCAGCAGGCAAACTCACTCTTTAAGGATACGTATACAGGACTAGATAAAGTTGCGCCTAAGGTTAGTAAGCTTTAGGCACGACGATAGCTCGTAAGGCACCTAAAATATAGGCGTATAAAGGTAAAGTTAATTAAGGTGCAGCGTAAGCTTGCCTAGGAGCTAACAGCGCTCCTTAACTAGTATACTAGACTTAAAGACCTTATTAACGAGCGCGGTATCTTGCCTAATAATATATATAACATAGATAAGATAGGCTACTGTATTAGTATTATAAAAGAGCAGTACTTATATACTAAAAATAGACGTATAGTCTTTATCTATAACGCTAATAATCGCAAGCTTATTACTCTTATTAAGTATATTTAGGCTATAGATAAGGTTATTCTACCTCTTATTATCGTTAAAGCTACTACTATAATAGAGTATTAGATTATAGATCTACCTAATAGGTATTTTATAGGCGTGTCTAATAGTAGATATAGTAATAATAAACTTGCGTATGCCTAGATTTAACACTTTAATAAGGTAATAAGCCGTAGTCGCTATAGAGCTTAGCGCTTATTACTAATAGATAGGCATAAATCTTACTATACGAAGCAGTTTTGTTAGTTTACTAAAGATAATAAGATATAGCTCTTTGCTCTCCTACCTTATATAACCTACCTCCTCTAGCCTCTAGATATAGGTTACTTTTAACTGCTTAAGTAGTATTATAGTAAGACGTTTAAGTACGCCTCTCGTATAGGCTCGCGCGATATTAATAAGGCCGACTTTATAGCTATAATAGAGGAGATCTAGTGCTTAACGTTTATAAAGTCTATAATCTACTTAGGTTAGCGCTGTATAGGCATAATGCTGTACAAACCTAACATTATATTAGCGCATTTTCGCACCTAAGAAGGTTGCTACTCTAGCAATAGTGACCGCTTAGCTATACTACCACTACTACTTATATAGCGCGCTGGTACACCTCTTAATATATTCTCGCCGCCTCCGCTTATCTCATCGCTATCTCGAGCGCCTATATAACGCTTTTACCGTATTAAGATCAACCTAGAGACGGTATAGCTAGTGCGGCGGCCTTAACTATAAGGTATAACACTAGAGCCTAAGGACCCTAAGCCTAGCGACGCTACTTAGCATATACTAAAAATAGTATAATAGATAAAGTTATAAGAGCCGTTTATTCGCGCTGTAATCTATTAATACCTTTCTTATTAGGTCGCGGCTAATATAATCTGTTACCTTCGTAGCGTCTTAGCTCTTACCTATAACGCTAAGGGCTTTAGGCGTAAGCTATATAGAACTAAGGCTGCTATTCTTACTAAGAAGGAGCGAAGACGTTATAAGAAGCGGACTATAGAGAGCAAAGGTGGCGTAATATATACTAAAGACGCGCGGCAGATAGTGTAGCAGCGCTAGGTTAATAACCTTACTCGTCTTAAGGTAGAAATAGCTACGAAACGACTTCGTGAGGCTATAATTATTTTTAATAAATAGAGACGTATCTTCCTAACTATACGGAACTTTAGCTGTAAATATACTAAGCTTATAGTAAGCGGTATTATAACGCAGCGCGATATTACGCGCTAGTAACACATAAACGCTGACGATAATAACTACAACACTAAAGCCTTAGTGAAGTGGGAATGGATACTTCAAGATAGCAGCTCTAAGTATCGTGAGGGCACTATAATAATAGATCGTACGCCAGCTATGTAGGTAGCGTATAATATTCGTCAACTTATCAATCTACAGCCACGCGTCAAAAGTTTCGCTCACGTAGCTACCCCACCACAACTCCACCACCAACTATCTCAATTTTGAATGCCTGCACCCAACGCTGCACCGCGCCAATTCGGCCGGGAAATATCACAAAATGTTCGCCGGATGCCAAATATGACGATCGCGGAGAGAAATATCGCGATCAGGATGTTGATGGGTGGGTGTGGAGTAGCTGAAGTTGCTACAGCCTTTCACCGAGCCTGCTCTACCATCCGCCGCCTCCACCAGAAGTACAACACCACAGCAACGACAAAAGATAGACCTCGTAGCGGCCGTCCTAAGATACTTTCAGACCATTAATAGAAGATAATTTGGAGACATGCACGTAAATCGCCCAAAATTAAGTACAACGACCTTATTAAAGCTGCGACTATAATGCTACCTAACAGCACCACTTTACGCCCACCTAGTAAGTCTACACTATATCGCATGCTTAAGCGTCGCAATATAGTTAAATATCGATGTAAGAAACGTCCAAAACTTACCCTAATACTCGCCCGTAAGCGGTTGCAGTTCGCGTATCGTCACTAACATTTTCCTTAGCATCGGCGTACAGTCAAGTTCTCTAATAAGTGCTCTATTCAGAAGACCTCTCGCGCAGAACAAGAGTGGTGTTTTCGCTACCTAGCAGAAAAATAGAAGGCCAGGATGCTTACGGAACTATCTACGGGCATAGTAAGAAGCTAGATAGTATAGAGAGCTATATAGGTGGACGAACGTGGGCATAGTCGGCGGAGTCTACTAGTGATAATGGAAACAGATCAGAATGCTCCCTGTGGTGGATACTCTAGCTAATCCTACATACAGGCACTCTATAGAGGTCTTCTCTCTTCATACAGGCCTTTCCAGATTTTTATACAGGATAACGCGCGTATACATACCTCTAGAGTTGTCCGGACGTTCCTCGCGGAGAACTATATTACAACACTTAACTAGCCAGCGTACTCACCAGATCTCAACCCTATTAAGCATCTCTAGTGGGTGCTAAAACGACGTATAAACAAATTCTATCTATAATATGATAATTACAGCTACGCTGAAGAATAGTGGGATAGCTTTTGCTATGCTCTAAAAGACTATTAGCGGAGGATCCCACGTAAGTATATTAAAGCAGTAATCTACTTAATGCCCCGCCGCCTTGCAGCTTGCAGAGCTGCGCGGGGCTAGCAAACAAATTACTAGTACTCAGGAATAAATTTCATTTTTCAAATTCAAAATTTATGTTGTTTTGGTGGAGATATTGGCTGTTTTGTCATGGTTGTTCAATTTTGGTGATGGGGTGTTTTCGGTTAGCGAGCGAAACTTTTGACTTAGTACTGTATATACGAAACTCGCGAGCCACCATCTCACTATAGCTTCACTATCTACCACACTGTCACAGGATCTAGAACACTTTACTTAGTATACTTAAGAAGATTGCGCAGAATCTACTTCTACAGAGTCTTATGTTAATATTGATACTACTATTAAAAAGGCCTATAAGGCTATGGTGGATAGTAAAATCGATATAAGTAATAACGACGACAGCGACGATAGCAGCTACTGCAATAGTCCAATTTCGATAATATCTAACTAGAGAGTGCTTTGATGATATATCTTCGATTTCTGAAATTAGAAAGATTATATTTTTATATCTATTTCGCTTAAATTTACGATTGAAATATATTGTTATTATTAAGGTGATTATTATCGTTGAGGTGATAGGCCCGTGCGGAGCACGGGCAATTTCATTGAAATTCTGCTACAGCAGCCGTTGGGCCCGAGTAGTTATATATGCAGAAAACTTGTACAAATTCAATGAACCACCTTTTACGCCCGTCCGACAAATGTAGCACGGGATATTCGATAAAATGTAATAGAAAGTTGGTGTTCGCTGATAAACCCCGTGCCCCAGGGTAGGGTAAGGTAAGGAGGGGTAGGGGATATTGCAATGCTTGCTGTTGGTGGAGTTGGGGATTACCGCCATGCGCGTCATGGTGCTCATACCCGTCGGTTCCCTAACCTACACGCACAAGACGTCTTCTTCGCTCAAACCGCCACCAATAGTTTCTGCGCCCAGCCTGGTGAACGTTGAGGCAAAGTCTTACGTGAGGGTGAATACCCAACGACAATGGGGCACTGACAAGCTTCACCGGAGTCTAAGCCCTTATCGACATATTGCAACACCCATACACAACGTTTATAGACGGTAGCCTCGCTGCACCTCTGTGCCTTCCCAATTATCTTGTGCAACATTCAGTCTCAAGGCTTACGACGCGCTTCAGGTGTCGTAACAACTATATCACAATGTCCCATCCCAAGTGTACTTCATGCTCTTTCTAGACCGGTGTACCTAACTCACGAAAACTTTGCTCATAACAGCTAATATGGCTGAACAAGATGATCCGCACACGATCGATGGGGAGAGTGTACGTTCGAGCTCCCCGCGGCGTCACAGCCACACCCCTTCATGGGAAGCCTCTAGTCTGCTCTCCCCGGTTGGATCACAGCGCGCATCTTTAGACCACAAGTGCTATACTCAAACACTTGTCAGCACACTTGCCAATCCAGTTGAAGACGGATGCAGAGCACAAGGATCGGCCTCTACTGTGACCTCGAACTCGGCTAGCACATTGAATGAGGCAACATCTACTCAGCTTCCGTCCCTTAAGAACCCTTTGGTGCAACACTGGAAGACTATAGCAATGATCGTGGGTTTTATTCTTGGTGGTCAGTCTGGCCTCGAACAACGATATCTACATGATCCTGACTGTTCCAGCGCTACTTTCTGCCTCGGGGCACTACTTGCTTGTCGGGAGCCTGGATGGCAAGCTCACCGAGACGAGTAATCTTACACAGGCTCAAGTTTCGGCTGTTTCCATCTTTTTAACCACAATATTCAAGACTGCACTGACGGCCAGTGTCGGGATCTGCTTTGCACAACATCTTTGATTCATTCTCCGTGGCAACGCAACCTCGTTGGCAACGATCAAGAAGCTTTTCGCCGTTCGTACTAACCTACTTGCATCAAGCAACTTTCGCGTCCTCTCGAGAGCGCCTTTCCTATTTTCTATGGCTTTCCTAGTCTGGTGTCTTGGGCTTGTGACTATCACGCCTCCAGGTGCGCGGATCGTAACATTCGAGGGTCAAAACTATACAGATCTCTACAACATATCTGTTATAAATCCACCTGTCCCGCAAGAGCTGAATCTAGGCAACGAAAGTTTTCCTGGGTTGACTGAAGGCGGCTTGCGTACCTTCACAGTACATCCACAGAATACGATGCAGCGAGGCTTCGAGTATTGGTAGGTTTACTCCTAAAACCACAAACAACATGACGCTGAATGCTGTAGGGGGCCTGTTCCAGCCTTGGTTAGCATTAAAAAATTGATTATCATAAACAACCAGGTGCTTAATCTACTAAGAAATCTAGGGGAGAACGCGACGTGCGATCTCTAGTTTAGAGGAACACAGCTTCAATGCACTACCTCACAAGAGAACAGTACTTTCTCTCTAGAATATACAACACAAGACATCGGTGAGTTTATTCGGGGAGAGAGCGGCGGGTTGATTGCGCCGGCCTTCGAATCAAAATGGCGATGGAATCGATATCCGCGTGATTGGCCTTTTTATTCAGTCGCGAACCATACGATTATAGCTTATACTGTGCAGCGTACTTCTGAAAACATAACAACCTACGAAGGCTTTCGCGCGACATGGAAAACAATCTGAAAACCTCACTCTGTGCTCTACGATGTCAAAGTATCTTTTCCACATGGTATACAAACGATCCAACATTCTACAAGCAACGAGGAGATACTTGAACCAGTGAGGGGTATGTTCAACGATGACTGCACAACAGCCGATGCTCTGACTTTTGGGGCAGAATCACAGGCCGTTGAAGATTGGACCAACCGAACGCGTACTTTACTTCCATTGACCAACGAATGGGCACTTTTGGAAGCATTCCTAGAGATTATGAGTTACGAATCCACTACGACATACAGCCCTCATATGGGCTTGACATCATCGTACGATTTGAGTAGTTTCTCAAAAAACGGTATAGCACTCTCTGACTGCCTGACACGGTATCCTCGTGGCTCCGACCTTATGAATACCAGCTGTAAGTCAGCACACCTCGCTTCCCTGTGTTGCATAAACTCATTGATCTACAGTGCCACTTAAAGGAACCGACTTCGACATAGGATGCTTCGGGATGAATGAAATCACAGCCTATTGGCTTGGCCCCAGAAGACCTTTGAACCTAACGGAGTCACTCCTCAACGACGTTCTGACAAACACCACCCTCTCCGCCATCTCACTCGGAATCTGGTGGGACATTGTGCCCGTCACCACTATGCGTTACCAAAGTACATACTCTTTCTCCAGCCCACTTAACCTGATCCTTCTATACAGTATTTGTCTAACAGCCGCTATACTCTTTGTTGCAATCGCTGTCTGGTCGTTGTGACGGAACGGCGTGCCCGCGACAGATGGCGGCTTCCTACAAATCATGATGGCGACCAGAGGCAACACGGAGATAGAGAGACTGGTGCTGCAGGAAAGACTGACGGCGATCGACAATATATCTCAGGAGCTGAAGAATTTGAAGACTCGGTATGGCGAGCTGGTTGGTGAGGACGTCTTAGGAGTTGCAGGGAGGCGATTAGGGTTCGGGACAGTGGAGGAGACGGTGAGCTTAAGAAAAAAAGGTCTTGATCAGGTTGCCACGCACAATAAGACATACAAGCAATTGTGTACTATTCTCAAAAGTCGCGCACTACTTACTCGGCCTTAATGGTTCGTTCCAAAAATTTCAAGAAATTGCCCGCGCGTTGCACAGGCCTCCCATCTCAAGCGCAATAAGCAGTAGGAAGGATGCGACGCTAGACGCTGTGCCACAATCTTCCCGACCGTGCCACGGCCACATGGCTGTTCAGGGATAAGTTTAACCTCTGTTCAGGCCATAGACCTTGTCTGTCCGTCAGGCCCTGTCATCCTCGTCAGGCCCCTAGCTTGGCCCATCCCTGTATCATCCGGCAGCGTCACCCGATGCCGTAAGCGAAAGACACCAAGAACACAATGGGAACTTGTAGCATTTCAACCCACGCATATAGATAAAATGTTCAAGCACCCCCTTAACACTTACATGCAGAGACCAATCAGATATGAGTTGCATGATCTGATCTGCTGATATGTAAGTCTTGGTGCTATAAAGATCTGTTAGTCTGTAGGGTTATTGCTGCGCAGCGCTTCGGCCGCGATCCTCCAAACTACTTACTGATTCTTGCGTGGAAGCGCTTTCAGCGACTGTATGTAACATGGTGTGCATACATATATATATAGTGATTAGCGATTGCGGCTTCAACAACCTCACCTCACAGCCACACATGGTCAGTGCTGCAGCATTAGCCGTAGCTAAAAACAAATATTGCCGTCCCTCGTTCTGCGTCAAACCGCGCAGAAAATGGAGCGTCACAAAAACACCGTAGAAGCAGTGCGCTCTCGCGTCCAACACTTTTACGCCACAGAAGCAGCTTTCCGTATCTATCACGGCAGCACAAACAGCACACGGCACGCAGATTTCGACCGCGATGCCGTTGTCGACGTCAGCACCCTCAATCACATCATCTCCATCAACCATGACACCAAAACCACCCTGGTCGAACCCAACGTCTCCATGGACGTCCTCGTCCAGGAAACCATGAAAGCCGGCTTACTTCCACCCGTTGTCATGGAATTTCCAGGCATCACCGTCGGCGGAGGCTTTGTCGGGACCGCCGGCGAAAGCAGCAGCTTCAAGTACGGCTTCTTCGACCAGACCGTGCTAAGTGCTGAAGTTGTGCTTGCAGACGGCGCGCTCGTGACCGCATCTGCCAGCCAGAATGCCGACTTATTCGAAGGACTCCGAGGCAGTTTTGGGACTCTGGGCGTACTGACAATGGTAGAGATGCAATTGATTCCACTGAGACAGATGGTCGAAGTGACATACTATCCCACGTTCTCGTTTGAAAATGCAACAGGAAAGATGAAGTATCACGCGAGCGACGTCCGAAATGACTACGTTGACGGCGTCGTATTTTCAAAAGACACGGGCGTCATTGTCACAGGTCGACTCATCGATACGCCTACTTCTACGTCTTCCCATCTTCCTGTCCAACGCTTCTCCCGGCCGTGGGACGAGTGGTTCTGGATCCACGCACGGACCGCCTCATCCCGCGGCATCATCACTAAAGAACTGGTGCCCATCCAAGACTACCTCTTCCGGTACGACCGTGGCGCCTTCTGGATGGGCATGTACGCCTACAAGCACTTCATGGTACCGTTCACGTGGCTGACGCGCTTCCTGTTCGATTACTTTATGCACACACGCATCATGTATCATGCCTTGCATGCGTCGGGACATACAGATCGCTACATTATTCATGACATTGCGTTTCCAGCTGATAATGCTGCGCCGTTTCTTGAGTATGCCGACGAGGTGTTTGGATTATATCCTATTTGGCTGTGTCCGCTGCGCCGAGATGGCAGGAGCTCAATGGGGCATGCGAAGCCGTTTAGAGGGCTGGTTGGCGGCAAGCAAGTAGACGGGTATGAGGATGAGGATATCAGTGTCGGGCTGTGGGGCCCGTATCCATCTAACGAAGCAGAATTCGTCCGTGCAAACCGTGAGATCGAAGCGAAGATGCGGGAGCTGGGCGGTTTGAAATGGCTCTACTCGCGCGTGTTTTACAGTGAAGATGAGTGGTGGCAGATCTACGACAAGCACGAGTACGACGAGCTCCGTCGGAAATACCACGCCACGTCTCTACCTTCGATATGGGACAAGGCCAAGGACCGAGGGCGGAAACAAGACTTTGGCACAGGATCCAAGGGCTTTTTGAAGAGGCTTGTGAAAAGCAATGCGTTCTTATCCGGTCTCTATGGTATATATAAGGCGGTGAAGGGCGACGACTACATACTGAAGAAGCAGAAAGCCGCTTGAGGCCCGGCAACAGATATAAGTGCACATGTGCATATAAGACACAGTGAAGGGGCTAGATAGTTTCTAGTTAGAAGAGAATAGATTAACTATAAAAAGTAGCAACATGGATTTGCAGGGATGAAACACACGCTATCCTAAGGAATAATAATGCTGTTTCACATAATGTATAACGTAAAGCACCACCGAGCCGGACACTTTTTCTTGGCATTGCGAACTTCATGTATGAAAACTAAGATTACTCCACGCTAGCTATAGAAGCCTCGTACGACTCACTCGTATTAGATTTAGAATCTTCTTCTATATCTTTTTAGTACGTACGAGAGTTATAGCCTGCTCTCCTATAGGTTCTATAGTGCCGTTAACTTAGTAGAGCTCTTTCTTAACTACCCCTACTACGCGCCTTCTTTAATGTCGTATAACTAATAGAAGTAATTTTAGCTACCTGCGATGCCCCTATACTAAAGTCTAGTATCCCGCTTATCTGAATCTGCTTTCTTTTACGCCCTTAGCGCTTTATTACTTTAGCTAATTACTCTTTAAGCTCTTATATATAGGCCTCTATAAGTATATTCTTATATAGTATCTCTTTAGCTCCTTTAATAAGCTTTAAAAGCTTTTTTATATAGTAGTTAACGTGGTTCACAAGCGAATCGCTCACCCAAGCGAATCGCTCGCGCCCCACCAGCGCGACAACTTTAACACATTATCCTAGACTTTTATTATAGTTAATAAACTATTACAATATACTAAATTGATTATTAGAGTCACTACTATTACTCGCACTATCTATCTTAACTGCGTAGGTATGGGCGTTGTGTCTAGTCTGCTTGCAACGCCCGCACCGCCTCTCTCCTCGCACCCTCTTCGACGCACTCTCCCTATCACTACGACTACTACCCGCCTGTTTAGCTAATACTTCTTGTACCTCGCCTATATTAAGAGTCTCTTCTATCCGTATGTATCGCCGCTTACGGCTCTTACGCTTGTTTACTATATCTAGAGCCTCTTAAAGAGCAGCTACTTCCTCCCTTATAAGCGTCATCTTATATACTATTTACTAAGCCCCTTTACTTAACTGCGTAACCTTCTCGTTAAGAGAACTTATAGAAGACCTAGGGCGGTTTCTTACTCTCTATTAAATAAGAGTACTTTAAGCCTTAACTTCGCGGGCGTTATACGGCGTCTATACCTTCTAGGTATCTACCCGTCGTAGTAATTATTTTAGTATCTACAATACTATATTAAGCTTTAATAGCATAGCCTATAGGTTATATAGAACTAGACTAGCGGCCCTAAAACTAGCTTAGATATTCTCCTTCGTAATAGACCGCTCGAGAGTAGCCCTAAAGGCTAGTAGAAAAGTCTCCTTACTAATATAGTTAGTGCGGTTGCGTGCTAAAGCTAAAACTATGTTGCTATACTTACGCTTTAATAGCCTAAAGCAGGCGACATTAAGAGGCTATAATAGGTAAGACGAGTGTGTAGGCATATAGAGAAGAACGATATTCTTCTTCTTACAAAGATCTTAAATTTCAACTAAGTAGTAGCTCTTATAGCCGTTAATAATAAGCAGTTAATATCTACCTATAGTGCAGCTCTTTATATAGATATTAAAGTGCTCTAACTAGGCAAGAGTAAGCTAATTATTCGTCCAGCTATTAGGACTAACTTTAAGCACCTAGTCAGTAGGCAGGTTTTTAAACTAGACGTTAATAAGCACCTTACCCGCAAAGACGATGAAGGGTGGTAGCCGGCGATCTAACGTACCCACGCCTTAGATTACAGTAACCTACTCACGGTTACCTAGCTATATCCGCTTCTTTTTACTATATCCTTTAGACGCTGTAATAACTAACTATAATAAAATCTTACCTATTATAAAGCTAGTTTTATTAAAGTTATAGATATCGTCGTCTATAATACCCTACTTCTACTTCGTCATCTTAACTAGATCGAACTAGCGCTAGATAGCTGCTAGGTCTTTACAGATAGCTCGCTGGTGATTATAGGGACGGCTCTAGCGCGTACGGAGCTCAGGAGTTCTCTTAACAAAGTTATTAATCTAGTTCTTACTAACAGGGTTACCCTCTTACTTATATAATAGTTTATCGGCTATTACGCGAATATTAGCCTTTATAGGCGCAAATTCTCTTATAGACTCTTTAAGAATACGTCTAACTATAGCCTCCTCTTCTAGCTTATTTAGGCGCTTTAAGTTGGCTTCGCAATCGCGTCGGGAGCGCTTTCTAGCACGTCGGTCTAATAAAGTTCTTTAAGGCACGTTATAGATAGCGGTAGTACGTTTTTAACTTTAAATACGTTACGATTAGACATTAAGAAGAGTAAGCTAGAGATCTAATTTAAGATAAGTTGATAGATAATTGCGTTGTTGAGACATGACGCGTTATAGTGTTGAAGTTGTCGCGCTAGTGGGGCGCGAGCGATTCGCTTAGGTGAGCGATTCGCTTGTAAACCACGTTAGTAATTATATAAAAGACCCTTTTATAGTTAAGCTTTAACTATAATCTAAATTTATATAAATTGCTTAGTATTCTTAACGTCTAGGGGATTTCTAGCTAAGCTTCTTATAGTAGGGTATAAAGACGTATATTAAAGCGATTAGTAACTCTCTACGCGTTAATAGGAACTAGCTCTACTATCTTAAAAGTCTTCTTATAGTTATTAGACGTAAATATATTAAAAAATACGTCTTAAAAGGCTAATAGAAAGCGTTTCTTATTAATATACTAGACGTAGTAGCGTGCTAAGTCTTATACGTATTAGAAGTACTTCTACTTATAAAGTAAAAAGTAGATAACATTAAGTAGCTAAAGTTTATATAATAAATAAGTAAGTATATAAAGAATAAGAATCTTCTATATAAGAAAGTAGTTCTTAAATTCTTAGTTTAGGTAGCTCTTATAGCTATTAAGAATAAGTAGCCTATATAATGTTACAAGTAACAAGAAGGACTCTCTCCTTGACAAATGACGAGATGGCTGAAGGCCTAAGGACGTCCACGTCAGAAGGTAATGATCAACGCGGGGCGTCGATCACGTGACTTGGCATCCCGCCAAGGCATGGCCTCCGGGAGGCCACCGCATAAAGGGAAGCCAATGTCCTCCCAAACCTCCCGCCAAGATGGGATGTCGGGAGGACAGGACAGGAAGCAATGAGGATATAAGGATGGATGGATTTCATTATTTACTCTCGTTGTGGTCAACTCAAATTGTACTTTCTTACTAGTATCTTTACTTAACAAGATTGTCACAAGTTAGTCTATCAAATAGATTAGTCTTGTCAAACCCTCCTTAAGCACGCCAACTCCACTGCATCGCCAGACAAGCCTCACGGAACACTAACGTAATACTCACCTGCCTTAGTGCGGACCAGGATAGAGAAGTATAGACCCATACCCCGTGTAACATATAACTCTATCTAACGCGTCTTTATATACTTATTAAAGTGCTTTAACTACTTAAGACTAAGTAAGTTATTTATCTAGCTATTCTCTAATACTAAGAGCTTCTAATTACATAGTATACCTACTTCTTTATACTAAGTAGAGATATAGACGTATCTCTTATAGATAATAAATAGTAGAGTAGTATATTCTATAGCGTAAATACTCTTAATAACTATAACCTACTTATAATTACTTAGCTAAATAAGAGTAGATCTTATATAACGCTCTAAGCTTATAACTACCTTTATTAAGCTAATTATATATATCTAAAAGCTAGTTTTATTAAAGTTATAGATATTATCTAAATAAACCTTATACTTCTTAATGATCTCTTATATAAGCTTAAAATACGCGTTAATAACCTCTAGGTCTTTCTACTATATCCTCTAGCGGTCCTTTACTTAATTAAAAGCTTTTTTAAGCTTATCTAAACGCGAAATAAATTACTTTACCTAGTTCTTACCTAAAGATTAGCTATCTTATACGCGTAGTAGTTTCCCTACTATATCTACTACTTCGCATAGTTAGGGAGTAAATTCTTATAAATCTAGGTTAAGAATATATTATATAATTATTTACTCCTTAGTTATAGTAAGCTTATAGCAGTTTAGAGATACTTAGGGCTAAAATATAATTTTCTTTAGCTAATTAGAAAGACGCTAAAAAGGAACGTTGTAGACAGCAGCAGTGCGTCGAATGCTCTTAAACTAGCCCGTATGATAGGCCTAAATAGTAAGAGTAATTCTACCTTCTCTCTGAGTTAATATATCTTCACGTGGTTGAGGCATGTTACTTTAAAAGTGATGTTCGCAATGCCAAGAAAAAGTGTCCGGTTCAGTGGTCTGTCCAGCTCAGTGTGTAACGGCGCAGGCAAGACTACTCGGATCAGTATCGGCAGTAGCGTCACTCAGAGGCATATGGGAGTGCGTGGGACATCAAACGAGCCTTGATTCGAATAGACACCTATAGGCCTTGTACGAAAGGATATCAAAAATCTATCGAGCTACGGTATGGAGAAGGTGGGGTTTTATATCAGCAGATCTGCCCTCGGCTAGTGCGTGCCCATGTTCGGATCCCTTTCGGATGTTAGTTCAGTGTGTACTCGAACCGTTACACAGTGGTCTTTTACGTTATTATACTACACTAGAATAATTAGTTTAGATTGTTCTCGTGTTTAGCTTTTGCTAGTAGGTTGGCTTGGCCGAATCATTTGTCACGTAGTATTGACTTATTGAGCATTGGTACCCAACTTGGTTACAGCCCCTACCCCGCACTATAGTAGGGGGTGCCCGTTTGCCAGTCTAGCACTCGCGCACAGGCTATTAAGCATTATCCACAGGCAATTAGTTAACCTAATCGACCTGCCTAATCTAACCAGCCTCCACGTTGACCCGATGTATCTCCACATCAATCTAACGTGCCTTGCTTTCTACGCACCTTATTAAAAAATGGTACTTGTCCATGCAAACCGTCAAATTAGCGTATAGAACTATAGTAATCCACACTGGAGCGATTAAATTATTTTGAAAATGAGAGGCTGCTATGAGAAAGAGACCTCCGTTTGTTAGTAGCGTGGATTTTCACGATATAGCAATATAAATTCTTGTGATTCTATATGAAACAGCATACCAGAGTGATGTGGGCACGGACTACTGTTACTTTTTTGGATGAGGAGGTGCACCTAAAATACCCCCACATTGACCCGAAGTCTCTCCACATAGACCCGAAGCTAGCATCAGTTCTACACTAGCTCATCACTATGCAACATCCTTACCTCTGTAGATCTTGTATGGAAAGGGCAGCTGTGTCGGTGATAGCAGTGTTAGTTAAAGACCAACGGAATTTATTTAAATCATAGCGGGCTTTTCGTTTTCTGTACTAACGCAGCGACTTGTTCATCTACATTTTTGAAAATGAGTCCAAGTCGAAACAAAACAGTTACTTTGTGTCTCCTCGCCGCATTTGGATTTTCCAATAGTGCATGTGCTGCGCCCAACCCGAAGTTACTTGGGAGCGACCTAACCATACTAACACATAATGACTTATACGGTACGTGTCCTCTGGCGAAAATTTCACCATCTCACAGCGACAGGAACTTCGAGTACTCGGAAAACCGCAACAATTGTTCTTAGTGCTCGGCAGTCCAATGACAAGGCACAAACTACATGTAAACAACTCCATGAAACTCTATGGGAGCCTGAAATCAGGACCGATTTCGGATTTTTGAAGTACCTCGAACATGCCAATGCTGCAGAAGAATCGGATCTCTATTGGATCGGAGGGCGAGGCCAGTCAGGATGTCGAGCCATTACTACGAACGGAACTATCCATGATCATGACTGCAAAGCTATCCTTCCAGTATTGTGTTCACAATCTGCTGCCTTAAGTTTCCCTAGGAATGATGACATCAGTAAAAACTGGCAGGTCGCTGTCAATGCCGGCAAAGCCTCTATTCTTGGATCTCGCGACAAGCTTTCATTTCGCTTTCGGGGCATCAAGTATGCAGCACAGCCACGGCGTTTTACTTACTCGAAATATGAAGAACCTAAAGGCAACATATCTGCGCTAGAATATGGATCTGGATGCATCAACACTTATTGTGGTTCAACATTAGATTGCAGCGAAGATTGCCTCTTTCTGAACGTGTGGACACCCACGTTACCAGCGAAAAGATCTACAAAAAAGAAAGCAGTGATGTTATGGATTCACGGCGGCGGTTTTACTAGCGGATTCGGGAGTGATACTACCTTTGATGGAGGCAACATGGCGTCTCGTGGCGATGTTGTCGTGGTAACTACAAACTACCGTTTATCCACGCTAGGCTTCCTTGCTATGGAAGATACTCCTTTGAAAGGCAACTACTGGTTATCAGACCTAGTCGCTGCTCTGGACTGGGTACGAGCCAATATCGAAAATTTCGGGGGTGACAAGGACCAAATTACTGTATTTGGCCAAAGCGCAGGTGCTGCAGCAGTACGGGCACTGATTGCATCGCCTCTCGCAAAGGGCAAGTTTGCAAGGGCAATTTTGCAGTCCTGTCCTGGGGGAGACTTCGCAGAGTACCAAAGCATCAAGGCAGTTACCAACGTAACTAATGCAATTCTAAATGAAACAGGGTGCACTCGCAAGGACAAGGATTCTGAAATCAGATGCCTTCGGGAACAAGATCCACATGTATTGATCGGCATCCGAAACGGGACATCAACCGGAACTCCTGCTAGGTATGTTCAACATCGAGTTCGTGGTGTTGTGAATTGACAAAACGTAGACGTCCCGTTATCGATGGTACATACTTGTCCACCAAAGAACTATTGCTAGATGGAACTGGCCCAAAATTAAACATTACTGTCATGACAGGCGTGATGCGAGATGATTGAAGTCCATTTACTAGCTTTTCTAAAAGCCGAAATGCTTCCGAAGCGCTCCTTCAACAAGGCTACAATGCCTCGGCTATCATAGGATCCGGCCTATTTCCAATCCCTGAAAACTCGTCGAACAACACACTGGAGATATTCAATCTCACTTCACGGGTCGCCACCGACGCTCAATTCCGTTGTCCAACCCAATCAACTGCCTTTTCTGCGAGCAAAAGCAAAGCATTCAAGGTTTACGCCTATGAAATGGAACGATCATATCAGCTTACACGATATAGCCCAAACTCAGGAGTATGTGATGCCCCCAAGACGGAATCGTTTCCTTATGGAGATACATCACTACCATACTACCGATGCCATAGCGGTGAGCTATACCTTATTTTCGGAAATTACCAACGCGAAGGTCGTCAGATAAGAGATGTAGATGATGTACCTTTCACTCAGTACATCATGGATACCTGGCTTGCATTCGGCAGAACTGGCAATCCAAATCCCGCAGTAGATTTTCTTGAAGCAAGGGGTTTTTCTAATACTTCTCTTACGATAGGAGGAATTAGGCCTTGGCAAGTGGTACAGTCAGGTAATCTGAAGTTGAGGATTCTTGATTTGGAGCCTAGTGACAAAGGTTTCAAGGATTTAAGGCAGTGCGAAGTACTTGGCCAACCGCTAAGCTATTATTCAAGTTGAATGCAAGATCCCTACAATATGTTCATTGCACTTAAATCGCAGTAAGGAGACTTAGTTCTATAGTCTATACATATTAGATTGCTAGCTTCGTGTTAAGGGCGAAGAGGCCTTCGAACGAGTATGTGTTAACCTATATTACAGAAGAAGAAAGATGAAGAAAGTAAAGCTATTATACGACATCTCTTACTTTATACTCTTATCTTAGGTTCCTTTATACGAATAAGATTTCGTGTCTAAGTGGTGTGAAGAGGACACGTGATACAACCACGTGTTTTACTCACGGGCGCAGCCCATTACACTATTAGCGCTCCTCTATAACGCATTTTCTACCTCAGGACTTGTGAAGTTTATTATTAATCAGAAAGTAGGTGTTTTAAGCTTGTAGAGAGAGTAGTTGTTCTTAATAAGCTATATAATAGCTACGTAGCGGGAGGCCTGTACGTTAAAGTTGCCTAGTTTATTACATAGTAACCTTCTAACTAATTGCTACACCAGATTCAGCTCCTATCGCGAGCGATTGCTGGCTAGACGCTCGATTTGATGGCACTTTCAAGCCGCCTTTATTATATCCATGGCCTACTTATGTCTACCTTAGGTGACCTATCGCAGACGTAGTCAACTACGTAACCTTGAGGATACTATCGAGTGAGCGACGCTAATAGCAAAACTTACAAACAAAGTAGATCTCTTTAGGGTTACCACGTAGCGACACCCAATATCCATAGTCATAGATTTAGCTTTTTTAACGCCTCTGCGTACGTAGAGGCTTATAGAAGTGCGATAACTAATTGTAATCGATACCGTCAAAGTTGTCTTAGAAACGCTTATCAAAAGTATTATTTACATCGAGGTCATCGTCGTTAGTACTAGCTATCGTAGCAGCTTTGGATCCTGCGATTAGTGGACTAGGTTGGCGACGCGTTGTTATATGGCCAGATCCAGTTCAGCATAGCGCAGCTACGATGGTGCACGGCATAATTGCCAGCACGCGACAAGACATGCTAAAACAACTACTGCTGCTGTAGCTACACCGTGAGGGCGAGGTGGTGCCAGGGACGACGTAGTGTCCCGTCATTTACTAGGACAAGCTGGTAGACAATGCCGCTGCGCAGCAGGCTAGGTGGGGTTTTATAGAAGATGCGCGTAGCTACCAGGCTAGCAGTATAGGCGACTCTAAGCGCTAGCTACTAGGGCGTATTCAGCAGGAGAAGCGACTGCGACATGAGTTTGCTGATGTTGCTGCGTCGCGTGTGGCTATGGCGGGGGGCGGGGGGCTAGTGTGGGTGAAGGAGCTTATCCAGGCATACTACAAAGTCATGCAAGAAGCCCGCCACGCACTTGCAGTACCTGTGCATATAACAGAAGGTGCGCCGCCGCGTAGTAGCGAAAGAAGACTTATGATAAACAGGTTATATAAGAAGGCGCTTTGCTCTCTAACGTAAAGCACTACCGAGCCGGACACACCACCAAGCTGGACACTTTTTCTTGGCAACGTAAATACTATCTTTAAAGTATAATATCCTAACCACGTAAAGACTTTTTAACTTAGCGTGAAGGTAGAATTACTCTTATAATTTAGGCCTATACTTTAGGCCAATTTAAGAGCGTATAACGCACTGCTACTACCTGTAACGGGCTGAACGCCCTTTGGATAGCTCCTCGATGGAATCTCGGCCTACTCGCAGAACCCGGGTGCTGTCTCGAGCACCCGGATTCTCTGCGCACCGCCCGAACGACGTTCAGACGACAGCCGCAGGACCCAGAAGCTGCCTCGTGCACCTAGACTTCACCGGTCCGATTGTTACTCGGGTAACCAGCTTGTATATAGACAGCTACGTAGCTTGGGAGCTTAGCTCCTCATCGAATACAACCTCTTGTATACCTCGCGATTGCTCCCCAGAGCGCAGCCCCTTACATTTTGTATTCGATCCCAATTAGACACAAGCCTTAGGCGGACTGTCTTCTGACTAAGCTTCAGAACGTGCTATTAGCATAAGCTAGTAACACGGAGTTGGTGCTGCAATAGGTACGAAAGGCCTTAGCGCAGCGAGTAGGTGGACCGTCGCAAGATAGTACACCTAGAGCAGAGCTTCGCAGGAAGCTTAGCCGTGAGAGACAGTAGGCGAAAGAGTCGCCCAGGACCTGTCAGAAGCCCTACCGTGTCTTGGAAAGCCGAGCCGTAGGCGCAACGTCGCGTAATAAACTACCTGAAGGCCACTCGGGCCTAGCGTACAGTTAGCTAGAAGCGGACGTTGTAGTGAGAAAGTCCTGTCAATCCTCTATCGGACGAGGTGCAGGCCGTGCGATTACTCTCAATCGGAGACGGGATCCCACGAGCGAGACGGCAAGACGCGAGTCTTCCTAGGGACGCGACGCAACAGCGATAGAGCGCTATTTAGATTCCGGCTGGTAATAAGGACAGCCGAAGGTAAGCCCTACCAGTCCTCGCCGACGAGGAGTAGGCCGCAGTCCGGGACTGCGCGAGCAGATCAAGAGACGATCAGAAGCCACACGCGACGATAAGGGGGTACTCGATAAAGTTTCCTTAGAACCCCCTAAGAACAGTACGATGGAGATTAACGTTCCCAACTTGAACGTAGAAGAGCTAGCGGCGTACGCTACCGCTAAGAGCCAGGCAGGAGTCTCGGACGAAGAGATCCTGCGTGAGATCACACAAATGCTGAGAGAGGACGGGTGGAAGGAGGCAGCGATTGGCCCAACAATTGAAGCAGTTGTAAAACGGTCAACGGTGGTAGGAGAGAGAAGCCCGCCAAGGCAAAAGAGCTCACCGAAGAGCGACCAGAGCGCCACAGTTCAGATGATGGAGCAGATGATGCGACTCCTTGGCCCGATGGTTAGTCGTTTAGAGGCACTCGAACGGAACCAAGCCGAAGGACGCTCGGAAGCCTCCTTAGGAGTCAATACCCCACCACTACCGCTGACAACAACTGCCGAGCCAACGGCCCGCAAGAACAAGTTCCCAGACCCAGAACGTTTCGATGGGACCCGTGAGAACTACCCAGGCTGGAAGTTCGAATGCGAAGGGAAGCTAGAATACGACGTTGCTATGTTCCCAACGGAGGACTCGAAGGTTCGATACGTGCTTAGCCGAACGAAGGATAAGGCAAACCAGGTCCTTCTTCCCTGGGTGCTTGAGAATAAGGAGCGAACGACCGCCGGACTATGGGAGCATATGGATACTCACTTCCAAGACGTCCACCAGCAGCAGCGAGCTCTGAATAAGCTTCGACACCTAAAGCAAGGACGACGCCCAATACGCGACTACGTCTCGGAGTTTAATCAACTCCGCGTAGAGTCCCGACAGACGTTCAGTCCAGCAGTAGCTCGTGAGATGTTCAGCGAAGGACTCGGAGAGGAACTCCAGAAGCTAATGCTCCATACCCCTAAGAATGGGAGTTTAAAGGAGTATATGGACAAGGCAATCGAGCTTTCCGACGACCTGTATCGGATCCAACTGCATGGGAGGAACCGACGGAACGTAGCCTATAATCACGCGCAAGCATCTCCAAAAGCTACCCGGCGAGAGAATAGCCCAGAAGCGATGGACTGGGAACCCTCAAGAGTCAATCGAGCACGAGAGAAGACGAGTAGGCCAAGACGACCTCCGCGGGACTGCTATAGCTGTGGAGAGCCGGGTCATCTAGCCAGGAACTGTCCGAACAACGTTCGGGTCGAGAGAGCTAGAGCCCTCCCTAAGAGCGAAAAACGGAAGCAGCCAGAAGAGGCTGAGGACCTAGCCAACAGCGACTCGGGAAAAGAGGAGCTCTAAGCCAGAGTCTCGGCTTAGAGCCTCTGAAGATGGATTGGCAGACAAGTAGCGAATGGAGTCAATTTCAGCGAAAGCACATGCGTCCCCCGCCAATTACTATAGATCTGATTATAAACAACGTAGTTAACGCTACGGCACTAATCGATTGTGGATGTCTCTGCTACGCACTAATTGATAGAAAGTTCGCTTACCGCCACTGTCTAGAGCGCTTTCAGATCCCTACCCGAATAATTGAGGGAGTGAACGGTAAGCTGTCGGAGATCAACGAGGTCGCCCGATTCTCGTTTAAGCTGCATGGGTACGAAGAGTCTGCCTATGCATATGTAATGGATTTGTCCTCTGGCGAGGACGTCTACCTAGGAAGGGGGTGGATGGATCACCGCGATGTGACGATAGCCCCCGCGAAGAAGAGCATCTTTATCCACTCGAAAGGCATTCGAGTGCGATCAACAGAGGGGACCCTACAAGGAGGAGTCCGACGCGTGAACGCCGCCGCATTCGCAGCGCTACTTCGCCGACACAAGAGCGCTCCGAATAGCGTTCAGATCTTCGCCGCGTCGATCGCGGATATCGACAAAGCGTTACAACCAAAGAAGCCCGTGGACGTACGAGCGCTGCTACCAACGCAGTACCAGGAGTTCTATGAGCTCTTTAACCCGAAGCAAGCAGAAAAGCTTCCACCGCATCGAGGGCCAGGGGTGGACCACAAGATTGAGTTAGAGCCGAAGGACGCTCAACCGCCATGGGGACCCCTCTACAGCATGTCGCGCGGAGAGCTCCTAGTTCTCCGAAAAGAACTTACGTCACTTCTCGAGAAGGGATTCATCCGTGTAAGTAGCTCACCAGCCGCTGCGCCAGTGCTATTCGCGAAGAAGCCGGGAGGAGGGCTCCGATTGTGTATCGACTATCGAGCCCTGAATGCGATTACTAAGAAGGACCGATATCCACTACCGCTTATCCGAGAGACGCTTAATAGCTTAAGCAAAGCTAAATGGTTTACAAAGTTAGACGTTATCGCGGCCTTCCATAAGATCCGCGTCGCACCAGGCGATGAGTGGAAGACGGCCTTCCGAACGAGGTTCGGACTATTCGAATGGCTAGTTACTCCGTTTGGCATGGCGAACTCCCCAAGCACCTTCCAACGATATATCAATTGGACCTTGAGAGAGCACCTGGATGACTTCTGCTCAGCCTATCTAGACGACGTGCT